GATCTCCTCTGTTTACATTCATTTATATACGCAATGATATTGTATATTTCCATACTAGGATGTTTTATGCTAGTCATGTACCTTAAGGCATATTTATTTAAAATCAGTTTGACATTTCCCCGATCCTGTGGTTTTGTGTGTTTTTCAGTCTCAAGAAATTGACATCCTTATCGGTAAGGACAGGGAGACCTTTTACACCAGCGGTCTCACTCTGGGCTCAAAGAAATGTTCAGTCCTCAGAGACAGCCTCCATGATGATGGGGACTGGACAATGGACATCAGGACAAAGAGCCAAGGAGGAGAGCCTACATATAACGTCTCTGTGGGAAAAGCTGGAAAAGGTAAGAGTCTGCTTCCTAAATGCTTCTATTCATTTCAGCTATTACAATGCTCCCTTCATAGTGTAAGATCTCATATTGTTTTATGTTGTGAAAGTGTCATGTCAGTATCAGAGCTTCTTCCATACAGTTTTGTGACTTGAAGAAGTGCTGACTGAATATCACAGGCCCATTTGACCAAATTTACAACATTTCTTCTCCTGTTGATTTTTGCCAGACTGATATATGTATCCGTTATATAGTTGTAACAATCATTTGTAAACGCGATATCTGCAAATATCTTTGCAGATATCGCAATATCTAACATTTTACATTCTGCATGCAAATATTTGCCATTTTTGTTTGAGAAATTACTTGGAAAATAAAGGTATTGCAATAATTATTATTCTTTATAAATAGAAAATTAATTAGCATTGATTTTGATAACTGAATAATTGTTTTGTTAAAAAATTCTAAAGCTTTAAAGAAAGCCATGCATTTATATGAAATGTTGATGCTTTTCAATGTTCTGCATGACTAGCTTTGGATTTTTGGACTGCTGATCGGACAAAATGAACGATGGATGCACAGGGCATTTTCACAGTTTTTAGCAGATTAATCAATAATGAAAATGTTTACAGTTGCAGCCCTATTGCTGAATAATTATGTGTTGATAATTACAATGAAATTGTAGTTGAAATATGTACATTTACATAATAGTTAGATTTTTTTATTATAAACCTCATGTAAGCCATGGTATTGCCGACCCTGTCCGTTTGCCTTTGTGGTCCTCACTGTCCGACATTGCTCCAGTGTTTCTCACATATTCACAAGATTTATCTGGCTCTGCCATTGAAAGCCTTTGATAATTGGCTACAATCAAGCATTGTATTCACAAACAATTTTTGTGTATACATTTTCCCACAGCTACCGCAAATCTGACTCTGTTTTCATCAGCCTTCATTATGGTATCTGGGGAAAATGACCTAAGTGTGCTTCCTAATTCTAAGCGGGAAACACAGATTTCAATCAATTGCACTTTACACTTTCCTTTCATTTTCCAAACATTGCTCCTTTTTCTGTTTTCTCCTGCTCGCTCCTCACCCTCCTGCTGTGCATGTTGAGCTTTTCGGTGAAAGATGTTACTAAAGTAAATTTGTACCAAACGTGCAGCGAGATGCTTCAGTCTCTTCACACAGCTGTGTGTTGCACCTTAGTCTCTTGCATGCATCTTAATAGTCATGTCCTGCTTTAGCAGAATGAACCAGTGTCTGTTTGAGAGTTGAACCCCCAACAACACATTTTCTTTGCAAAATCAGGACCAGGACTTTGTGGGGAAATTAAGTTATTTACTCAAGATTATTTCCCATTTAAGAAACACTTTTTCAACACTGAATCATTTGCTGTCCAAGCTGCAGCATCTCATTGTGTCAGTTGGTAACAATTATAGTCGCAAAGAGAAGTGTGCAGACAGTTGGCACTGTATGACACACAGTTAAATATCCCTGCACTGCACACTCCTGGTGAGGATCTTTCTTACTTGGAATGCCGTTACCCTTTTTTCTTTTCTTAACTGTCCCTTTTTTCTGTTTCTTCTCTTTCAGTTTTGGTTCTTGTAATGGGCAAAGAAGGGGTCCATGGAGGCGGATTGAATAAGAAGGCTTTCTCAATGGCAAAATACTTGAGGGATTCAGGGTTTTAATGTTTTCGAGCTCACTTAGATAAAAACGAGGGACAAAAAAGAAGAGAAAATAAATAATTGCTGTTAAGATTTCTCCTGCAAGCAGTCAAATGTCTTGGAAACTTTTAATAGCAATGAAGAGTGGTAAGATACTGTGTCACCTTTGTCCCCCCCCCCCCCCCTGCATTCTGTAGGGGGGGAGACTCTTCAATTTTGTTCATTTCTCTTTTTTTCCCTGTGTGCTCCAGTATTGGTTTTTGTCATGGGGAAGGAGGTGGTCCATGGTGGAAATCTTAACATGAAAGCACATGCAATGGCTGAGTACCTGAGGAAATCTGGATATTAAGCAACCTCTCCACCCATCCATCAACTTAGCAGCTCACCCCCACTCAACCGCATTGTGTCGACACTACTCCGAGGATTAGATGGCATACAAAGTTACTTCCTCCGCAGTTTACTTTTATATACTCCCCACCCTGTAGCTTTTTTTTCCTTCTTTTGTTTTTTTTAAAGGAAAAAAAAACCTACTCCACTTTAACATTGTACTTCTCATGTTCTTGCAAAAAAAGATTGCAAAGTGTAATAAAAATGTTAAATTTGAATTTGCCTTGCATAACATTCACTTAGCAACTGGCTTATAATCCAAGGGGAAGTACATATGTAATGGTGCATAGTTTTTTTTGCGCATTACTAAAATATGCCATTTTTTCCATCAGCATGTGGGCATTTAAAAGTTGCATGCATACCCCTCTGTAGCATTCAGATCCCAGCCCTATCTTCTCTCTGTCCCAGCTTAATATTCCAGCCAAAACCATCTTCTCATCTGCCTCTTCATCTTCAAGTTTTCACAGCCTCTGCTAAAGAAACAACAAATTTCCTCTGACAAAGTCCTGTATGTGTGTACTGACTCGCCACCGTCAGGCGCAGCTTCCTTTACCCTCCATCACATGCTTTCGCTGTTGTACCTGAATGTGGTCTTAAAAGTTAATGGTGTGGTGTTGGGCTGTTATTTGAGTGAAGTGTATAAGGTCAGCGTTGCTGAGGTCTCAAAGATATTGTCAAGACGCTTCCACACATCCTGGAGTCTCAGTGGACATTCCACCTCTGTGACAGCTCCGACGTTTGTCAGTCAGCTCCTGCTCTTTGTAAATTTCGCTGTAAATCACAAAACACACTCATGTCAGTTTTTTTCTCCCCCTCCCCTTTGGACCAATTGTCAGTTTAAGAGGATTATCAGAATTGCTTCATCTTTTCTCTGATGTATGATTGTTGGCATCACCTGTTGACTGTAAATCATTGATGACTTCAGATGACTGTGTAAAACATTTACTGCTTCTTTAGACTTCAACACTACACTAGCTTCTCATCACTAATTGATTTGTTGCTAACATGTCCATTAACCAATAAAACAACAATGTCATTTTACTACAGTATGAATGCATTTTGACTGTAAAACAAGGCTGTTGGGCTCCAGCACCTTGGAATTATTTGCCTTGTGCTTTAGTCATCAAAGGTGTATTCACAAAATGTCATAGTATGGTACTTAGAATATATTTAAAAGAAAAAAATGCTGTGTACACTAAACATATTGAAAATGGTGTTGGTTGGAATAAGAGCATTTGTAAGTTGTCTTGTGAAAATTTTCTGAGAATAACTGTGTATTCTGTGCCATAAAAATTGATCTGATCCGTTGCTACTATGAGTTGGATTTTTAACTGCTGCCCCAGCAAGAAGTAACTTTTAATGGCACTTTCCTAAGGGATATTTTGGCATCAGTAATCTCCAGACTTTGTGGAATATGTACAGAATTAAACGACAGAAAAAAAAATGTTTGCAATTTTTGTCTTTTTGTTTCTGAAAGGAAATTCCTTCTGCCACAAAATCTGCTATTTCAAATGCCATGAATTGATGAGATGTCTTGTTTACAGACAGATCAAATAAAAGTTATTCCAACCAGTTTATGCCATCATGTCCCGTCTGTTGCTTCTTCAGTACAAATGTGTATATAGACTAATTCTTCAATGTTTATGGATGAAGTCAGTCATTCTATTCAATTGTGTGATTTAATGTCTAACAGATATCTAATTGAATAATTTTAAGAGTGAGAGGACAAAGATTTTTCTCCCTGTGGTTCCGACTGTTAATGGAGAAATAAAAAAGGTTTGAATAATATGTGGCTGCACAGCATGAGCTTCTGATAACAAGCCCACCAGTGGGTTGCTGCTATTTGATGCATTTGAAATCCATACCACGCTGAAGTTAGTCTCTCATTGCTCTATGTAAGAAAATGCAAAAAATTGATACCTAATTGATTTTGATGGAAATGTAGGCATCCAGTAGATTTTAGAACAAGTTACCAAAAAAGCAGCACACAAAGACAAACATAAAACAAACATACATCTAAATGTATGTGCAAAATAGTGTGAGCAGCCAGGGGAAGTCACTGCTTTTTAAATTTTTACCAAATCAGGTTCAGATAAAAAAAACCATAATACCCAAACTTGTCAAATCTGGACTAGATTGTCCCAGAGAAGATTAAAATTGTTTTAAATACATTTTTGGATTTGTGAGAAAATGTATATATATATATCTGTTTATTCCACTGTCAGGCCCTGTCAGGTGCATTACATGTATTATGAACACAATTGATACAATAAATTAATTGTCAATGTGTTTTTTGTACTCTAGTACTGTAAATTAAAGGTAGATGTCACAGTGTGTTCACAGTATGTGTACATTTATCATCCTGTTAGGCCTGAAGAAGAAACATATACACCAAGAGCATGCATAGAATATCTTAAAATCTTACAGGCAAACACGTCAGGGTCAAATAAGCCTGATTAGAACAGCATGAAATGTTAGGTGCATGCAACACTGTTCTGAGTGCTACATTAGTTTTAGCCATGTAGCTTGCTAAGCCCCGCCCTTACCAGCTCATCTGGTAACACCTGCTGCAGTTGAGTGCTTGATTGGTGTAATTAGGAGCAGACCTCATGTGTCCAGTCTTGAAAAGTGAGAGCGCAGAGAAAAGCTGAACATTCACCTCAGACCTGTGCACGCTTCTGGTCCTTTGTTTCTGATGGCGTGGAGCGGGGGCAGTAAGATTTTACTCTGTTTAGGCCTTTTTGTGGTTGCTAGTTCATTTTGCAGTTGTAGCCCTCTGACGAGGCTTAAGGCACTGGATAAATTAAAAGAAAACTCGATGATTAGCCAAGGAAGTGGTCTGCACCATGGACGACTCCTCATTGGGCAAAACTCGCTGGAAGGTGCAAAAGTCAGTGGAATCTGGACCTCAAAGGACCTGCTGGATTTGAATGCTGATTACCAAGATGACATTGGTGTGTATTAAGTTCTGCATAAAATTCTGTGTAAATTACCTTTCATTACTTTTAATTGATTGTAACCTTGAAGGCTTTTAATTCAATTTGTCTGAAATTGTTGAAACATTAAAATAATAGCAATTTTTTTTTTTTTTTAAAGGTTGGGCAGAGCCCAAACGAGCTAAAGGACAAGGTGACGACTCCTCAAGGCCAAAGCCAGCTGATGCAGCGGTGGAACAACTCCTTAAACTGGAACCAAAGGTTGAATGTACAGGAGACTCCATGAAGCTTCAAATCCAAGATGCTGCCTCTACTCCTGGATCCCTATTCTTTGTGGACCGAGGTAAGTGTTTGGTTTAATAGTGGTGATAAATTTACAGCAATAATCGATTTCATTATTATATGCTAAGCCTTTAATGTATTTTCTCTTCTGTCTAATATAATCTCTCAGGAAGTAACCAGTCTCCACTTCCCCTGTCCAAGTTGCCGCAAAGCTGTGGTTACACAATCAGGTCAACAAGGAGAGATTTTGTCTTGGTTGCACCCTATGATGGTTGCTTTGTTGCTCATGAGGTGCGATACTTTCCAAAAGCACTTTACTCGAAGTACATTTGCATTTGTCTAACTTCTTTTAAATTTCAGGAGGACAGCTATGTTCTCCCCTTGCGTTGGTGGGGGTTACCGGTGAGGATGTCATGCCCTTTGATGAGACCGTCTGCACCTAACCCTCCGATGGTCACCTGCCACACTGAGGGCATGGTTGTGAAAACTGAATGGATGATCTCTGTTGCTAAAATTAAAGTAAACTGTAAGTTGTTTTCACTGAGTATTCAACATAATATCTAAAGCTCAGTCAACACCTATCTGTTGCATTGAATGATATAGTGTCAAATGTGTACCCCTTGTATTGTGTGTGCTTGCTTCCTGCCATCAAAATGACATGGCATGTGTGCTTTTCATGCTCTCACACAGCAAAGCTGCATTTGTGTTGGATTAATATACTGGCTCAGCTGCCTCAATGTTCTAATTTTCAAAAGTGGCTTCATCTCCTCCATTCAGATTCAGCAACTATTGTTTAAAACATCTATAGGAGTAGAAACAATGGGTGCAAATGTTGTAGTTGCTGGTGTTGGCTCTGAATCGCCCCAAAGCAGAATTGGAAACCAGGCTTAAATTAGGTATTGAAATATGATTAACTTGGTTGGAGAGTAAGAGTTTTAAAACTTTGTGTCTGACTGTAATTTTACATCACAGTGAATGATGTCTGGGAGCCTCTGATGAGGGCCTCAGCCAAATGTGGGTTCAGCGTAGTTGTACATCCGGATGGTGTGGTCATCTCTGTTCGCTATTCACCTTGCCTGAAGGAAAAGGTACCGTACAAATGTTTTTCGAAGAAATGCATTTGCAAATACAATTAAACTGTGTTGTAACCAACTATTTATTTTTAAGGATGGTCTATACACCCTGGAACTGGCTGGAGATGGAGAAACCAAAATTTCCTGCCCATCACTGTCTGAAGCTGAACCCACAAAAAGCCCACCAAATGATCCAGAACCACAAACTGAAATGCCAAGCAAAGGGGTACATCACTTCACCCCATCTCATAATTCTGGTTCACCTCTTGATCAAACCTTTCCTCAGAAGCCAGAGGTACCTGCCAAAAAACCAAATGAGAGGCCAAAGGATATTGCTCCACCTCAAATGCCATACTATCCTTCGTACCCAAATTTCTTCTACCCTTATCGAGATATTAAACCTGTAACTGCTGCACAGCAACCGTCCTCTGCTATAACCAAGACCACTGAAGTGCAGTCCACACAAACTGTCCTCCCATCAAAACTGCCAATGGCCCCTGAAGGACAAATGCCCCAGCAATTCCATCCTTTTTATGTCTGGCCATCTCAACCTGAACAAGTGCCTGTTGAAAAAGAGACTCAAGTAGATTCTCCAGCCACACAACCACCTAATGGCAAAGTAGAAGACCTTTTTTATCCATACTACTTTAAACCCCCTAATGCCATTCCCGTACCGACACCTGAACCATATATAACTACATCTCCCCCGGCTATCCAAAGTACGAAAGGCCATAGACAACCGATTTACTACCCTTTTCCATATAAACCGAAACCACCTATGCAGCCACCAGTAACTAAACCAGCGGCAGATAAATTCCCTGAATATCTCCTTCCAAATCCAAATAACCACCCATCTGGACCTCCTCAGAAACCTCAAGAACCACCTTCAAGCAAACCTGAGAACCAAGAATATAGCCCACAACCGGTACCCCCAGTTTCTCAGGAACCTCATGGACAAATGTACCAGCCGTTCTACCAATACCCATTTTACCCTCCATTATGGTCTCAAGGCCCTTACCAGCCACCAATGCCACCCACAAAGCAAACCCCTACCCTGGCTCCAAATGGCCAAGTAAAGCCTCTTAGCCCATTGAACCCTGAGACATCTAAACCCCAAATCCCTGGGAATGTGTCTCCCAGTAAACTACCTTCAGCTCCACAGAGCAAAGCGCCATCACAACCTAAAGCTCCTGCAGGCAAAGTCCAACAGTACCTCTATCCCTACTTCTACCAACCAAAGCCTGAAAAACAACCAGATGAGAAGCCACAACCATCTGAGGAACCAGGTGCTGAAAAACCTGCCCCAATTGAACCCCCTCCAGCTGTCAGCCCTTCAGAAGGCAGAGTGTATTACCCGTTTAACCTTTATTACCCCCAGCAGCCTCAGCCAATAACATTACCCCCTGTTACCTTCACACAGACACCACCACCTAACAATGAACCTAGTAATGGTGGTAAAGTCCCCCAAGGTCCACAACCAGGCTCTCCATATATGCCTCCTTTCTACTGCCCTCAATTTTGCCCATCTGGAATTTCTAATTGCTGCCCACAAATTGCTTTTCATCAACACCTGCATCATTTTGTTCCAGCTGGACCTGGCAGTGAAAATGTTCCTCCAGTCTATCCAGCACAGCAATTTCTCTCTTCATTGGGATATTCTGGGCTTGGCAATGGATTGGCTGATCCCTCTCCAGAGGAAACAATGGCAACAACAACAACACCTGCTGTAACTACTGAATCTTCCACACCTGAGAATGAACAACTGCCATATCTCCTGCCACCAGATGGCAACAATGCTGCGCCTGTTCTCAGTATACCTGAAAATCAGATCCCAACCTACCCTTATTTTGTACCCAATCTATATCTACCACAAAGCCAGTCAGCAGTTAATTACAATGCTCCAGGTAATGGGCACGCAATTCCATATTATCTACAGCCCCCAGAGTCGCAAATGAGCCAAATACTACCTGGAGACATGAAGAATCTGTCTTGGCCTGATTTTATGTCTTTTGTTGCTCAATATCAACAAGGGCTTTTGGCAAACCAGCAAAATGAGCCCAGAGCCAGTGAACTACAGCCATCTAATGTGGAACCCAGTGATTTTGAAGAGCCAATGCAAGCTAAATTCAAAAGTGTAGCTGATCGCTTTCTTGTCCGGCACCCCATGCTTCAAGATGCAGAGGCACCTATAAACTCCTCACAACAATTTGTTAGTGCCTTTAAGAAATCTACCAACAGTGATCAGATAATTCAACCCAATTCTCAATCAAAGAGTTATGTGCTGCTACAGCAGGGTCCACCAGGTCGGGAGCCTACCAGTTACAGTGAAGAGCTTCTTGTTGACGCAACCGTCCAGTCACAAAATCTTAAACCCCATCAGAATTTGAATCCCCTACAGGACAACCCCCATAAACACCCATTTGTCTCTGCAAAGGATGGCTCTCATTTTGCACCTTTGCCCAAGAACTCTTTCAATACAGCACAAATAAATCCTGAATTATTAGAAAAAATGTGGAAACTGAGTAGACCTCTGGGCTACGACGAAGGGATTCCAGCCAGTGTTCCTGGAGAGGAATTTCAAAGATGGCGCTCAGCAGCTGACCAAAGGGTGCGTTGAGTCTTTTTTATTTAACTTTTTAAACCAGTTTGTTTTTTTAAATCTAATAAACTTGTCTCCTTACAGGACTGAACCTATGCACCAAGAGAGGTGAAGAACATCAGAATCAGAAACTAGTTGTATTCAATTTGAATAAATGATTGAAACAATACCTGAGCTTGTGCTTTTTAAAAAAAAAAAAAAAAATTCAAAAGATTTGAATTTGTTTTTGTCCGATTTGCATTTTGGTAAAAGTGAGAAGTTGATGTAAATTGATTATCACTGTAGTTAATCTCTTTTTGGCATTGGTGGTAAAAAGGGTTATTTGTGTTTAGCTTTTTTCCATTTCGAAGTTGTTTTACTCAGTACTTGTTGGCATGAGGGATGTATCTGCTTTTTAGACCTAAAAGGTGCATTGACCTTGTTTAACTAATTTGTCTTGCTTGTTTTGTCTTACCCAGAACTGATGCTTAATGAACATTGACCCAGAGAGTACACATTGGATACAAGTCCTATTCATTCATCAGTGGCCTTGAATTCAATCCAAAATCATTGTGCTCTTAATATTCCACGGTTACTTTTTTGCTTATGCATACAAGATTATTTAAAGGTTTTTGAAACACTTTTAGCCTCTATACCTCTAACTCATCCACCTTTAAAACTGAAAAATACTGAACAGCTAAAATGGTAAAAATAAAACAGTCAACCGCTGAGTCCCGTTTCACCAAAGTGATTAAGCTTTCCAATTTCATGTCAACTATAAAAATGGGGACATTTTGGAGCTATATAGGCTGGTGTTATGGATGTTTTCTGGAAGCTGGTGAAAGCAGAACTCATGCAGCGGCTGATGTCTTATGCAGAAGAGTTTAAAGTAGACCTTATGCATTCTGGAGACCAGAAGGTGGAACAATATACATACACAGTAACATGAGCAATGCCCCCCCCCCCCCCCCNTATGCAGAATTTTCAATGTAGACTTGATGCATCAAGGAGACCAGAAGGTGCAACAATATACAAACACTAACAGAGTAACATGAGCAATTGCCCCCCCAAGTCTGAAGATGTCTCCCACAGCATCCATTCATATCATCCTCTACTTGCATCACCCATTCCAACTGCACATCTATGAATGGCTAGAATTGCTATCACTCTGTTACATGCAGGTGTTTGCTTCCTATTGGATAGTGAAGTCTAAATATGCATTCCTAAATCACAGCTTGCTACTGGTGTAATACAAGAATTGGAGTTTGGTGCCTTTCAGTCTGGGGCATTTGAATTGGGTAAGAAAGTCCTTCAATGTAGATGATACAATGTACTGTTGGTTGGCCCTTTATCTATAACTTGACCTCGGGTACTGTTTGAAGGAAGGAAATAAACAGGCCCCGCTCATAATGTTGTACAGTAATGTGTGAGGAAGCGAAAACATTTCTCACCAGTTGCCATGTTTTAGAAAAGCACATGGCTGATATGTGAGGTGGAAGACCCAGAATTGATCAAGTCACAAAAAATGTTGTATGAATGACAGGATTTGAGAGGAAGATCCAGTGGGGAGTGCAGAACTACTGCACAAATATGTACAGTGATAAAAAAAATCCTTGATGACCTGGATTTTAACTGCATTTGTGGAATGGAGAGCAGTTAATGCTCAGTTCTCTGATGTTTTTAAGTCAGCATTTAAGTTTGCATTTTTAAAAATTGTTTTTCAACATGAGCTGTAGCAGTATTTGCAGAAATGTCAATAGGTTCGCAGGAATGTCCCTGGCATGGGCAAACATGATCAGCAAACAAGACTGTTTTGCAATCAGCATCAAAGACATGTCATGAATGATTGAGTGCATTCCGGTACCAGTTTGTTCATTGAAATCTCCGTATAGAGAGGTCATCGACGGGTCCTCATCGGACCTGTAGAAAGCCTCACATGACCTCTCACGAATCCTTCATTGACTGTGTGTTTCGTTTCATTGATGAGAAAAATTATGCAATCACAATGACACAATAACACAATGTTGGAGTTTGTGGATTTATTCAGAATGAAATGCAAATCTCTATCATTTTCGTGTTTTGCAATACATTACGCTCTCTCGACAATTTTGATTATTCTTGGTTTGTAGGAAACATAATATTTTGTAACATCAACCTACCACGGTACATTTTTCTGCATCAATTAAAGTTACACTAGCACCAATGCAGCTGAAGAAAGAAAAGATGGAGAGTCTGTGGGACCTGTTCAACTGAAATATCTAACCCTTCCTGGACATGCTGGCACAAGAAGAAGAGGAGCTGCAGGGGTGCCGACTACTGCAGCAGCAGATGCAACAGCTACATCTCTCTTAAACATAGCAACAGGGACCTCTCCACTGCTGTATTCTGAGTTTGATTCAGAGTCTGCAGCTGGAGCAAGATCACCAGCTGGAGCAGGATCTGCAGCAGCTGCAACAGGTGCAGCAGCATCAACCACTGCAGGGACCACAGGTACAATTTCTTCTGACTCTGCTGACTCTGCTGACAGAAGGCCACTCTGATGGGGGTCATGGAGGGAGGTCAGCTTGTGGTGTTTCAGACCGTGCTTGTGTGACAGGCTGTCTGCAAGTACAACTGGAGGTACAGCCACAGTGTTGTTGGCATCTACTGGCATCTGAAAAATTGTGTTACATCAACACAGTGAAAGATTGTAAAATCCAGGGCTTATTTTTGCTCACAATAAATTAATAAATAAATAAACAGCATTTTACCATGGGAGCAGGGAACATTCTGCAGTCCACATTGTGAACGGCTTTGAAACCTTTGGCATAACAAATACCACGTTCCTGTGAGAGAAAAACAAATGTTCTGTTTCATTTTCATTCAATGTTCATAACTAAACTTAACTTCAAATGTGTAATTGTTCGTTCCAATAATAATTAAGTGAACTTCTGAAATGGGTCGTTCTCACTGAAGACTTGATTGCTTTGTGTACTTACAGCCATGGGGTCATTCAGAGGCGTGCAGGCTGTGCCAGTGCAATTAGCCTCAACCACGACATATTCTACTGAATAGTGTGGCACACCGGCCAAAACCTGAAACAAGGTTTTGGGAATATTGCTTTACTGACAAACATTAATAAAATGTGCAGGAATGTTACAACGTTAAAATTTGTTTAATTCATCTGAACAGAGCCCACCTGTGACGACATCCTTCCAACCTCCATGATGGTGTAAGTCACGTTCATAGTATTGTTATTAAAGGTCGCCAGTGAGGCCTGCACAAAGTCCAGCGCTGAAGTGTCATTCAGAGGGAGGAGGGAGTAACAGTGCAGGCACAGGTCCTCTCTTGATTCTGAGCAAAAAGACACATGCAGGGTTTATTATGATGAGGGTTGAGGATGGAGGATGTCCCACCTTGTAAAACCATGAGACAAACTGTGATTTGAAAATACAGGCCACACAAATACAATTTAATTATGATTGATTGACACTGATGTCCTCTGTATGTGTGTGGCTTCATAGTGATCAGAAAGTTATACCGTCTGTTTTACACTTGAATGCAGTCACAGTCAGAACTCCTGCAACTTTCCTCAGCACCACATCACAGTCTCCTTCCACGGCCTGAATTGGAAACAGATGACCAGAGAACGCTAATCAGTCCTATTTTCTATTCTCATTCATTTATGTTGTGAAAAATCATTATCATCATTAGATCTGGTCGAATTTGTGAAGCGTTGGAGCGCAGACTCACAGTCAACACTTTGGGTCGGACTGTGCAGTTGGCAAGAGGTGTGGGGTCCAACACATGACAGTTTGTCTCCAGCAGGTCAATTTCAAGGAAGTATGTGTCGTCTCCATTAGCCTGAGGACAGAAAAAACAAAACACAGTTTTTTGCACATGTCAAACATCAACTGTTGAAAGAAAGGAAGAAAGAAATATATATATATATTTAAGCTTGTGATTTTTTGTGGAACAGTCATAATTCAGTTCAAACCTCAATCTACTGTTTTATGTGACCCTATTGTCCAGTGGTATATGGAAGAATGTATGGAGAGTATTTTGCAATGTCACACAAATATTACTTGCATGTTTTTGCCTGTAACTAGACCACATCTGCCCTCTGACTTACCCCAGGTTGGATCTTGACATCCTCGATCCTGTTCAGTGCATACTTGTAGCCGTGAGCGTGCTGGCCATTGAGGTAATCCTGGGCGACCATCGCAGCCTCCTCCACCTCAGGGGAGTCGCACAGAGGCCGCAGCACCTTCACCTGAGCCCACGTCCCCACCAGAAGTCCCAGAACCACAGCGAAGCCCAGCAGATTCATGTCTGCGAGAGATGCAAGAGGTATCAGAGCAGTGGAGCAGAGAGAGGAAAGGAGAGGAAAATACTCATGCAGTCTGTGCTGTATATATCCTGCACTTTAAACAGAAAACAGAGCCAAGTTAAATACAATGATCATCCCTCCTGACGACGCGTGGGTTGTACTCTGTTTTAGGACTGCTGCCAAAACAAATGACAGTTAGGTAAGTCTATCATTGAAGTTCAAATCAGTGCTTATTCACTGTGTTTTTTCATCCTGATACATCTGCAAACATCTCCTCTGTCTTTTCACAGCTGTCCCCACATCTGAGAGGAATGTTCCGTGAATTAAAATATCATAGAAATACACGTGACGGACTTCACTTCCAAACAGCCGTACTGTGTCACCAGCTGTTGCTCTCCACAGAGGTCAATGAGAGTGATCAGCCACAGAGCAGGGCCCCACTATCAGCAGGAACTCAGTGACTTGCTCAACGACAGTTCTGCAGAGAGGATGTTTGCCAAGGGGGGCACAGCAGAGGGTCATGGACACACACTGCTGCAGCACATGTTTACTCTTTATTGGACTGTCTGCACAATACACTGGTGTCACTCCAGGCCATAACCACGATACAAAGAGGCTCTGATATATGATCTTATATAGAAAAACCATCAAAAACAGAGGTTAGCCGCAAGGTACTTACCAAGGATCCCCATGTTATATCAATTTTGTTTTTGTCTTTATCTTTTTTCCCTGTGTTTATTTTTGTCGTAGCTTTTTCACCTGACCATGTTCCTCCTTAGAATTCCTTTAGATAGATAGATAGATTACTTTATTCATCCCCGGAGGGAAATTAAGTCGTCATAGCAGCTCGTGTATCAGAACACAACAAAACACAATACAATAGAACAAAACAAAACATTGAGGTAGAAAGAACAAAAACAGAAACACAAGATGAATAGGCAGACAAGTAGTGCAGTGGCAATATGATGGTAATAGTAATGATGATATGATGGTAATGTTNACTCTCTCCCTCTCTCTCTCTCTCTCTCACACGCACACACTCAGACATTTTCTCCCTCTCTTCTTCATCTGAAGTGTCTTCCCTCTTGTCTTTTTGCTTTTTTTCTCTCTTCTCCAGCAATTATCCTCTGCACTATGGTCCGTCTTCTCTCTCATCTTCTTCAATCACGTCTCTTCTACAAACCCTTAAAGGTTCAGTGAGTAAGATTTAGGTGAAATGGATCTATTGGCAGAAATTGAATATGAAATAATCCTAGTGATGTTTTCACTAGTGTGTTTCATCTAAATTATACGAACCCGTAAAGCTAATTTATGTTCACCTATAGAAGCTGCATACGATACAGACGGCGCCCTCTGTCTGTACTCTGCGTTCATTTCATCCGAATTTGTGCACGTCTTCTGAAAGCTTACAGACAAAACAAACAATAGGGATGAGTACCACAGGAAATCGTGAGGGGGCAGTGTAGCCAATAGTTCAAGTGAGATAACGAGGAAACGAGGAACACATTTTAACAATTGCGGAACTTTGCGAGTTGGTAAGTTGAACCATCGCCATTCACAACGCAGCAGCTTTTGTGTCGGTTACATTTTAAAACCTCCTTCCCTCTCGATATGTTTGTTGTTGTAAGAAACTCTCGACTCTACGCTGCCCTCCAGTGGATGTATTGCTTAACAACCATGCCACAACATTAAGGACGCACGGAAGTACGTGGGCAGTGATGGTTACTGCTAAGTTTGAAACGGACAAATCTCTTCTGAAATGAGCCCTTTGTCCTCCTCTCACTCCTCCTCGCTTTGCCTATTACCGTCACTCGCTTTTGCCTTTCTCCTCCCTCTCTCCACATTTGCCTTCTTTCATCTTGTTTTTCGTGTGATCACAAGGAACGAAAATGACTTAAAAGACTACGTCAGCCAATTGGAGTGGGACTAGACTCTAACATCATCAGTTCGAGTAAGTTCACCGATCATCCAGCCAAGCACTGAGACCAGAATAACCTTTTCTACCACTGTTTTCTTTCCTATTATATCGAGGGAGGAGAACAGCAAGAAAAATAGAATGACGTGAATCAGGCTTGTAAGCTGGAGGCAGTCAATTTTATTTCCACCCGCTGAGTTGTTGACTTCTCTGCCTCACTTATGCCACAAACTCCTCTCTCCTTTGCCAGATGCCAATGTTTAAAAAAAATACTATTTTAAAAAAGAAGCGGTCAAATGGGAACAAATGTTAGAATTACTCTTTAATGATCGTCCGACTACACTGTTAGAAGACGATCATCTCGTTCACACACACAGGACGCCGCAGAACAAAGTGCTTTACTGCCAAATGAAATGACTTGCACTCTGTCCGTTGTGCACACTATAAGAGAATGATGAGCACTTGTAGAGTTAATTAAATATTTAAATACCTAAAGTGGACATGCAACACTGACATGGGGAAATAAATGTCTACTATTGTCCTGGTTAATAGTGCTCTGTGGTTCTGCAGGGACTTCAAAAATAATAAACTGGACATCATAAGAAAATATGACATTCCTCAATTGATAATTTTGGTCTTATGTGCATGAAAGACCAAATGGCATTGCTGAGAGCGAACAGGAAAAATCAAAAATATATTTATTTGATATATTTCTCATCTTGTTGTGATTGATTTAATTATTTGCCTTGGTTAAGATCTGAGTTTCTGATTTATTTATTTTCTTTGTTCTTTTGAAATATTAAGTACGTCATGTGTTTTCTAAGATGCTTAGTATAAGTATAAGGGTTAGTATTATTTTTATTAGTAGTAGTATAAGGATTAGTATTGTTATTAGTATGAGCATAAGTGTAAGGGTAAGTATTAGTATTAGGGTTAGTATTATTATTGGTAGCAGTATTTGTATAAGGATTAGTATAAGTGTTAGTATTGGTATTAGTATTAGCATAAGTATAAGGGCTAGTATTAGTATAAGGGTTAGTATAAGGGTTATTAGTGGTATAAGTATTAGTATCAGGGTTATTATTAGTAGGAGTATTTGTATAAGGATTAGTATAAGGGTTATTATTGGTATAAGTAGTAGTATCAGGGTTATTATTAGTAGTAGTATTTGTATAAGGATTAGTATAAGGGTTATTATTGGTATAAGTAGTAGTATCAGGGTTATTATTATTAGTAGTATCTGTATAAGGATTAGTATAAGGGTTATTATTGGTATAAGTAGTAGTATCAGGGTTATTATTATTAGTAGTAGTGGTAGTTCCTCTGACCTGAACCACAGACTGTATATGACCTGAACCCATCGTTCTCAGTGAAATGTGATTGGTCGGCTGCAGGATGACGCATTATACCCGCGACACTGAGAAACAGTGCATTGTGTACATGCTGAGCGCTGAGCTTCAGGTGAAGCGGGCACATATGAGCGAAGAAGAAGCAGGTTCATTCTCCTGGCCGTAAACATGGAGGAGGCTCACCAGAGAACATTTCCTCTTTGTCCGCGGAGTCGCAGAGACAAACCGAGGCGGTGACGGTGAGACTGAGCTTCGTGCGTTTTGTCAGTAAACATTAGCTGAGCTAGCTGCTGTAGCGAAGACACTGTGACTGACTGCTGCTAACACGTGTCGAGAAGATCCACAAACCATGAGAGGTCTGTGACAGGCTGAGGTTTAATAACTGAGCTGTGTGTGAGACACTGATGTACTCCACTATAGTCAACGTTTGGATACAGGTCTCATTTCTATTCTAACACATGTGTGGAAACGCCACTTACTAAATCACTCTGCACATATAAAACTACAGGGATATATACTTTTCAGGAATCAGTTAAATTACAGGGATGTCCAAATACTTCATTTCAATTTTCAGTCAATCTACAGGGATATAAAATCCTTAATTTCAAGTTACAGTAAACTACAGGGATATAAAAAAATACTTTATTTAAAGTAACAGTAAAACTATAGGGATACAAAATACTTAATTTCAAGTAACAGTAAAACTACAGGGATATACAATCCTTCATTTTAAGTCACAGTGAAACAATGGTGATATAAAATCCTTAATTTCAAGTAACAGTTAAACTAGAGGTATTTAAAAATTCATTTCAGATGGATCCACTGCTCCATCTGCTGCAGGCCTTGTGTTCTCTTTTTCTCTGACGTTCGTTCTAATGATTGTGGCTGAAGCCAACTACAGTGGAAAATATCTCACGGTACAATACTCAAGTAATTATACTCAGTTACATTGTACTTGTCTAGTTAACTGCTGTATTTCACAATGAAAGCTGAGCACTGAATGTAACAACACATCTGTTCTTTACTGCAGCAGGTGTTCAGACTGCTGAGTACAGAGAAAACTTAGTGGAGTATGAAGGGAAAGTTAATCTTGGAACAGTCATTGGACCATGGCCTTGAAACTGAGCATCTCTTTGTCGCAAAGGACACAAAATAAAACTCCGATTCAGCTCTGCTACCTATGATACCCACACCTCCATGTTCTCATGTGACCCCTCTTCACTATCCCCTAGATGCACCGAACACAGAGCCACAGGAGCAAAGCCAAGTACCTCAAGAGACGGAAGGGTTTCATGTCTTCAGTCAAGGGAGTTTCTCATCTGTCCAGACGGGCCAAGAGACGCTTGTTTTTTAAAGTACAGCTCTGGATGTGGAGGAAGCGGAGAGAGAAATGCCGTTTTGGGATTTTCAGAGCAAAGAGAAGAGCTTGTGGGATCAGCTGTGGACCCTGCTTTAACTCAAAGGATCAATCACAGAAAAATAAAAGTAGACTTCCAATGTACCACACAGTAAACTCAGACAATTCTCGAGACAGGACTTCAGCTGCAGTGTCTCCACTTGCTTGTGATACTGAAGCTTCAGAGGAGACGCTCAGAGGGCAGAACTGTCCGCTGAAGCCACATGAACCAGTCAGTCTGTCAGAAACTTTAATCGCTTCCAGCTCTTTTCAGAACCGGCTCACAGACATGAATGTTCCTGGAGGTCCATTCGCTCTAACTGCGTCATCTCAAAGAAGAGAGACCTCTGGACGGTGTTGTGTAATTGCAGAGCCTTCAAAACACTCTCGCACAGTCAAACCCCTGCTGAGGACAGAGGCATGTGAGGGGATGATGAGGTGCACCTCAGGACAATGTACCAGTGTTACTCCAGGTCAGGACAAGGCTTCAAACACACATTCTGATTCTGAGAGAATCACCTGTCAAAAGTCGTCTCAAACCAATGTCAGCCTTAAAGCACTGACGAACGACCTACATGGTACTTTTTTAATCACTTTTATCATTTTTTTAACCTTCACTTTTAAGTTTTTGGTTTTTGTTTTCACAGCTGTTTGAGATTACAGAGTGTTTCCATGTTTCTCCAGAGTTCCTCGATGAGTTTTACAGAATATATGGAAGTTTCATTCCACTACAGAAGAGCGACGTGTTGAGACACCTGAAGAGGAAGTTTAACACAGATTTCAGGGACAGGTAAATCTCTCATAATTCTACATCTTAAAGAGACAGGAGCTAAAACCCAGTGTTTCAGACAGAGGCTCAAAAGAGGAGCTGCTGAACATTAGAGCATGTAAACCTGTTCATGTTTTCCCATCCCTGCAGGAAATATGTTGTCTTCTCGGAGGTTACCAAATACAGAAGTGTGATCGTTCAGAAACCCGTTCCCTCCTTCCAGGTGGTCTACAACAAACACACACTGACACTGGAAGATTTGTCGACCCTGGCAGATCAGAACTGGCTCAATGACCAGGTTAGAATCCAACACTAAAATATGTCATTTACCTGCAAGTGGTCAAACCTTTGCTTTTAATATATAATTATGTATTCTTGTTTGTGCTTCAGGTCATGAACATGTATGGGGAATTGATTGTGGAATCTGCCCACCACAAGGTAATCTAATGATATGTAGATGCTAGAAGGTTTCTTTTTTTTTCAAATCAGGTGGCTGTTATGTACTTACCAGGGTTATTAAAAATCTCTTATAAGCTTATTTACTTGTAGTTAGATAAACAGACCGCTACTAGGGGGAAATGTTTTACCTGGCTCAGTCCCAAGTCAATAAAACAATATGCACGTCTGAAGATGACTTATCAACATGTTATATACTGCTTAGATTTTTTTAATTAAACATATTTTAGAAATCATATTTTATTATTTGTATTATTATTACTTCTTTTTAACTCTATTTTAACTATGCAGCACGTACAGAACCTTAACACAGTACAAATTGTGCATATTTATGTTTTTCTGGTTTATCTGCCATCCAAAACACGTGAACCTGTATAAACATGAACTCAGTTTGTTTTATAATTATACTTTTGTAACCTTAATCTGTCTCCGCTCACAGGTCCATTTTCTCAACAGCTTCTTCCACCGACAGCTCATGACTAAAGGATATGATGGTGTTAAGAGATGGACAAAGCAGGTCAGGTCTAATGTGATCATTTCTCAGTGTTGGTGATGTAGATTAAAACCAAACAAGAACGGCACTAAGCAGAGCACATACCTCCGCCCAGGCCCAACAGTCTCCTTAAATTCAAGCTGCACCAAATTACACACTCTCATATCAGTTCCCTAAATGTGCCTGATTTTTATTATCAATATCCATTAATTATTCTCTGGGATCTGCACCAAACTTGAATGGGTTCTTCCCTAAAATTTTGGAAATCCATTCATTTCTTTTGTGTAATCTTGCTTACAAACAAATAAACAAGAAGACAGGGATGAAAACATGATAGTCTTCACGGAGGTAATCATACATTAAGTCTTCATGAAGAGTTAATGAAGAGTAAAAAATAGAGAATGAATGGATTTAACTCTTTTCTGTCTTTTTCACAGGTGGATTTGTTTTCTAAGTGTTTGCTCTTGGTGCCGATCCACCTGGAGGTTCACTGGTGTCTGGTGACTGCTGACTTTGTCAAAAAGAGAATCTGCCTTTATGACTCTCAAGGGAACGCACTCCAGAAGGTTGCAAGGGTAATTTCACATGGTTTTCTTTGTCCCTCTAACAATATACATGAACATTTGAGCTGCTTATTTAAAGTAAAAAGTCCTTATCCATAAAAATTGTTTTTCTCTATGCTCTGCTAATAACAGAATATCCTGAAATACTTGATGGCAGAAGCAAAGGAGAAGCAGCAGACAGCTTTTGAAAATGGTTGGACAGTGTCGTTTGATGAGGTATGTAAACGTTGATGGCAGCGGAGGCCTTAAACTACGTTTCTTCTTCCTGCTGGAGATTCCCTGACATGATGTTTTGTCTCCCCCTGCTGTCCCTCACAGAACGTCCCACAACAGACCAATGAAAACGACTGTGGAGTTTTTGTCTTGGAGGTAACAGCTCTGCCTGCTTACTATTCATGACTTCATCATTGTAGTTTTTTTTTTTCTCTTCACTAATGACTTGATTTTCATTTCAGTACTCCAGATGCCTTGCTCTCACAAAACCCCTGCAGTTTTCCCAGGAGGACATACCAAAGATACGTAAGAGGATCTACAAAGAGCTGTGTGACTGTAAACTCCATGAGGAGGGCTGACGAGGATCTTACAGACGTGTGCAATCATTTATCTATTGCTGATAACAATGATAATATCTGCTACTTCTAATTCAGGTTTGAAATCAGCGTTCCACAGACTCTGTGCAGGGCTTCACTACCAGCTCACAAGTTTACAGTACTATGAGTGACCCCTGCAGGTGAGAGTCACTATTGTAGGAGGTGCGCTGTTCATGCTAAACCATGATATATGATTATTGTATTTAAAAATATCGAAATTTATTCAGTAATGTTATTTAAATAAAGAAAAGCTGTTATTGTTCCTGGAGTTTACACATCTACAGTGCACCGATAGAGCCTTACTGACTTGACTGCCTGTTGAGGTGGATCTCATCTGTTTTGGTTCATGTGCGTTGAATATTTATTGTTTAAACCTTATTTGCACATTTTTAAAGTTGAAATTTGCATTGTTGACTTGTGGTTTGAGATGTTTTGCATCATGGTTTACCTATTAGTATCATGACTGAATAGAGACTGTAGAGGTATATCGTGTTTTTGAAGAAAATCATTGTTTTTGTTTGTTGCATAATGGAAATGTGAGTTTCAAATTAAAAAAGACGTTGACAAAGTTTATTCAATGTTTTCATCTTATGGAATGTGCTGTATACTCTGCAGTCCATATAATTGATTGATTTATATATATTTTATATATATTTATTTATTGATAACATACAACTACAGGTTTTGTTAATCAGCACATTATGACTGTATGTTAGTGTGACCCTGAATATGGGTTTTCTTTCATATCTTTATTTAATAGTGTGGTTTTTCAGTTTGAGAGCAGGTCTTGTTGATTTCACATTCAGCTTTGTTAATGCTTTCACTCAAAACCTTACACTCACCTGCTGGTGCTTAGATTTCAAGCTCTACAAAATTTGAATGTGAAATGAATAACTGCTCTCAATCTGACAGACCATGCACTTGAATAACGATTGGTAATAAAAACTCCACCTGAACAGTTATTAAATATTGACTACTTATAAAACAGTTCTCCGGGAAAATGTGAACATTTTAAGGCACGAGAAAAACTAGCATGGTTTTCAGTATGAGAACCAGATAATATACATTAATGTACTGTGATAAATATGGTACAAAATATAATATTCATCACCAAACACATCTGTTCACAACAGACACATTTCTATCACTGACCCCGTCAGTGCACTAGACCTACTTAAATACAGTTTCACACGTAATGTATAATTATTGCAAGAGTTCCTTGTCGCCATCAGAAAATCTCACTTAATCTAAAAAGAGGTAACGTGGTCACAACAGCCTCTCGTGTTATACACTTAGTTTTTCCTCTGGTTAATGGCGTCTTTAATCATAAGAGGCCATCAAAGAGAGGAGCTTAACTTCACCACAGAGAATGTAGTTGATATATATGGTCATAATATAATAATAATAATATCTATGTGGACATGTGTCTGCCTACAGGAAGTGAGAAAAATGTAAGAATACAAACTGTGATTCATAAAAGAAGAAGACTCAGCTTCTCCTGAGAAAGCTTTTGGTTTCTCTGCTACCTTTCCTTGTTGTGCTGTGTGCATGATCACATGAAATACTCCGATGTGACCCTCCTCTCACGATGAGTCAAATTCCACGAGGAAGAGCCTAATCGTTGAAGTGGAATATCCAATCGACTTCCGGCTCATCGTCAAGGCGTATCACGAGGTAGGACACCAGCTGGAACAGGTTCTGCCACAGGCCCAGGAAGAGGTACAGATAGAAGTCGCTGACGTCTATTTGGCAGTGAATCCCTGAGTAATTCATGTCACACACACACTCAAAACTGTTCACGTAGTTGACACAGAAGCCTCCGTTCATGCACGGATCCGAGGCACATTCATCTACATCCTTCTGGCACCTGCAGAGACGGATGAGAGGAGAACAATTATGGAACAAAAACAAGAAAAGACCTAATGTAAAACAACAGACCTCATGAATAACAATGTACTTGTTGGCTGCTTGTGGCAAACAGAAACAACTACAATTACTTTGTAGAAACCTTTAAAGATGGTAAATTTGTTTGTAGGCAGTAGTTTATCTCCACATTTTGCAGACACAAAGAAACACTAGCTTTCATTTGCTATTTTATAATAGTGGCATACTGATAAAATGAAAACCTAACATTCTGATTTTGTAGACAATTTGTAGGCTCCACCGACTCTAGAGGGAAATATTTCATCAAAAAACGATCTTTTCTGTTAACTTTACCTGTCATTGCAATTTGGAACTGGGCTTTAAGCTTTTCATGCTTGACTAAAAATGACACAAGGGTACTGAGAGTGAACCAAGACAGTCAAGTTATTGGTCTTAAATCCAAAAGAGTGAGCTGAAAGACAATAAAACTGTTGAGTTGAGGGGAATCTAATAATAAAGTCTTGAAACTTAGTGCAGCCCTTCTGAATATCTAATGACTCTGTGTGTGGGGCGGTAGGGTCCTGACCCTCTGTGAAAAGCAGATTAAAAACCATTAAGCGTGTCCTACCACTGTCCTGTGAAACCAGGCAGGCAGTAACAGGTGTTGTCTACTTCAGAGCAGTTCCCTCCATTATAGCAGCTGTACTTCCATCTTGCACCCATGCATGTAGATGTAGGCAGCTGAGGAATTCTGAACACAACATAGAAATATCAATACCCTCCACTTTGGTTAAAGTGAATATATTGTTAATTTGATGAAATAATGGAGACATGTGTTCATTTTTGGTATTAAATGTCGAAGCACTCACGGATTTGTCTCGATGTACCAAGGGATTTCAGGAATGTTGTCACTGTAAGAAACAAATTTGTAAATCAGTACAACTCAGAGCTTGTTAGCCTGTTATATGTGTGATCGGCTGTGAGTTTGGTGTCAGAGAGATATTAACGAACTCACTCGCAGTATTGGCCGGTCAGGTTTTGAGGGCAGAGGCATGCGTAGCTCTGGAAGCCTTTGAGGCAAGTGGCACCCTTGCTGCAGTTGTTGTTTTCACACATGTCCACTTCAAACTCACACTGTTCACCGCTGTAACCAAGCTCACACACACACTCAAACCCCCTGGGGTAGTTGGTGCAGTAGCCAAAGATGCAGGGGCTGGAGATGCAATTGTCAGTCGACTGTTCACACAGTGGCCCTGTCCACTCGGAGGAACAGGTGCAGTGGTGCAGGTCAAAGAGATCCTCACACACACCCTGGTTCTGACAAGGGTTGGATGCACACACACCGGCTCCCCAGCAGCCATGTTGCAAGGCAGCGTTGCCATTAACCCTCACAAACTGCTCCTCCTGGGGTCTGGGCAGGTTCAACTCCGTGTCCAGGTAGAAAGGGAGAAGAAGGCCTCCGATCTCCACAGAACCCACACAGCCAGAGAAGGTCACTCCAGCATCCAGACTGAGTCCCCCCAGCAAAATGTCTGCTCCCTCTCTGAGAAAATCCAGATTCCCTGCATCTGTTTCGGACATGCTTAGCTGCTTGTGGCCCCCATCCACATCCATGATCCACCTGGAGGTTGAGGATGTCTTGCTAAGCTCCACTGTGTGCCACTCTCCATCACTGATTGCACCCTGGCTTTGAACGGATACCTCATCGTCCCCAGCCTTGATCTCCACGACTAAATGAGAGTCCTGGAGGGACACAATGAGGTAGTCTGAGCCCTTTTGTGCACGCAGTATGGTGGCAGTGGGCTGTCTTGTGCGGAGGCTGAGGAACACACTGGAGAGGCTGCGATGAATCTTTCCATTGCTCTGGTACTGCAAAATGCTGCTGTCAGCCCGGAATGTCACATTAGCCAAACCTGAAGGAAAGAAATAGAAGATGCCTGATGAACAAAAACAAAATTCTAGCATTTAAGGTAGCTTTCCCAGTCATTTTATTTATTCAAGTACCAAGACATAGTGTCCTTACTGCGATAGCTATCCCTGCGGAGCATAAAGCCCTTGGAAAAATGGGTTTTATATCTGAACAAGTAGCTTCACACAAAACTGTAACCCCACCTCCAGCAGTTAATTACTTTTTTAATATCAGCACACAAGAATTCCTCATCGAACTTGTGCATTTAAAAATAATAAGACCGGTCCTGCAACAATCACGTCATCGCTCAATAACCTGCTCAATAGGACTGATGCATCTAAGGGCTCCCCACAGAAAAACATGTAATCAGTCAAAATACAGAGCTAAATAAGAAAATAGCCTTTAAAATTGATGCACAACAGATAAAACAGATTGTTTGGAAACTGCTTCAATGGCTTGGATAGGCAGCTCTGCTCCTATTCTCTCTGTGAACATGTGACACCTCCAAGAAGACATCATCATTAACTTCCACAGGCATGTGGCGGCAGACCTAATCTGAGCAGGGATTACCTCGTCTTAGAGGAATCCTGTGAAGGTTCCCTACATCAACTCTGTTCCCTGCTGTAATCATCCCCTCTGTAATTAATCAGTGCCTGCAACAGCGAGTGCTATGAAGGGACTGCCCACCGCAGACAGTCCCTTCAGAGGAAACATAGAAATAGACTGGTGTAATAAAAGGTTTACATGTTTATCATTGATCCTTTTTGCACGTGCCACAAACAGGAATAGCAACTGAGGCTGTGCACAGTATCTTATTTACAGCATGGAGCCTCTTCTGTGAAATCTTTTTTTGACTCACAGTCAAATTTTTTTTTAATTTTCTAAGACAGGATTAGTGCCCCAACTGACCCTGATCTCAGGATACTTACACTCAAAGCCCTGAGAGCTTGTCTGACAAACAGCACCTGTGGGACATGGAGACAGCTCACACCATTTAACCTCCTCACAGCGCTGCCCTGCGGTGTTGGGGGGACAGTTGCAGATGAAGTCATCCCACATGGAGTAACACATTCCCCCGTTGAGACAGGGCTTGACCTAATGAAGAGTAAACAGTTTAAATCTATCACACTGTGACCGCTGTGAGTTCTGCTGTCACTTCAGGTGCAGATAATGAATGGATGGCACATTAAAGGCAACATAATGAAAATGACGGTATTGATATGACTCACAGCACAGGCGTCATCACTGCTGCATCCTTGTGCGACATTGATGACTTTCACCAGCTTGTAAGATTCCACTGCAGTTTCTATGGGATAGAACTGCAGACGTTTGCTGTTAATCCTCAGATCCTGGACACATCCCTTAAAATAGCCACCAAATGAAGCAGAGGCCCTTGAGTCAGGAAGCCCTCCGATGAAAACCAGATCCCCTGATTGGGCGTGAATATGCCTGATGGGCATAGAAGCCTGGTCTTGGGCTGACTGGAACAAGCTGGCAGACGTTCCTTCCAGCTTCACAGTCACTAGGTGGAAATGGCCGTCACTGACAGCTCTGTGACCAACAAGGGTCTCAAAGTTGTTGATCTGAGCCTTGACCCTGCCCTTCTCCAGCCACAGGCGGAGGTACTGGCTGGTGCTGTTGGCCAGGACGAGGAGCAGGCCACTGGACTGTCTGGTGCGAACGAACATGGATATAGTTATGGGATCACCTGGGTCATCATCTAAGGAGAAGAGAGCGTAACTCTCCACATCTTTGTTTCCAAACCTGGCAGTGATGTACTCTGCATGAGGACAGAGAGAGAGAGAGAGAACAAGTCACAGAAGCAAGTTACACAAAACATGATTTGACGACTGCACAAGCTCTCTCCTCTATGTTCTCGCCGAAGGAGCTCGTGACAACATCAGTGTGAACTCACGATAGCTGCAGATACTGCGAGTATCGCGAGACGTGATGTCACGTGCCCCCTCAAACACTTCACCCCCGCCTACATCGGCATAGTGGTGAGTAGATAATGAGTATATTTCATTTTTGGGTGAACTATTCCTTTAATGACACTGAGACCACATTAAGTTAATGAAAGCATGTAATGACACAGGTGAGGTTATAAGTCTTTTGACAATGTCTGCTCTCCTTTAATTGAATAGAAGAGGCTGCTGAGGGTGCCAACCAATGAAAACGTGGCGTGAGGGCATAAGACTCCCTGATTTGTCAAAGTGAAGACATTCCAAGTCGGCTCCTGAAGGCCACGTTTTTTTAATCCTTGGTCCAGGTGTTACTGAATGCCGCCTAATTGCATGACAGAATGCCACGGCTGAACTCTGTGCTATTCCTTCTGGCTCTGTAAGCTCCTTTAGAATCTACTGACTAACTTTATCGCCCTGCATGGTTGCTCTCGTCATAGCTAACCACTGAGGTTTCTGCAGGGACGCAGCTGAGGATGAACTTGACTCGGCCTGGACTTGCTTTCACAGCATGTCTTTGTGTAGTTCTGCCAACAGAAGTGTCACGTGTCAAGGAGAACATGCTTAAATCAATGACAGACAACATTGTATTATTGTTTTTTGTGGTAAGAAACCCAACCCTGTGTACCTGAATCAGCACAGTGTGTGCATAGATGTTAGTGTGGTTGGTGTTTTTATTTTGTGGAATAAGGTAGGAAAATTGAGATCCAAACTTAAAGAAGAATTAGTTATTTTGAACAATTTATTGTTTGATATATTGTTTATTGATTTATTTTTCAATTTTTCGATACCATTGAAATTTGATATGGCATGCAGTGGTGATAGTGTGTGTTTGTGTGTGTGTGTGTGTGTGTGTGTGTGTAGGTGTGTGTGTTTGACTTACCCTCTGCACAGTTGTTTCCCTCATATGGCCTGAAGCACTCGCACATGTAGCTCCTCCAGCCCTGGCTCACACAGCGGCCTCGGTTCTGACAAGGGCTGCTGTCGCACTTGTCTTTGTCACTGCATCCCACAGTGATGTTCGCCTGGGCATCTGAATCTTCTGGCACTATAACTGGCAGCACCAGATGTGAATCCACAAGCACATCCCTGAAACAGCCTAGAAAAGCAGGCGGGTAGTTTGCCTCATCCACTGCTCTGTCCAAACCCCAGCTGCCCACGACTGCTCCTATGAAGAGGCTTATACGAACCGTCCCTGGCTCGGGGAGAGCAGAGGCTCTGTCAAGCAGATGGACTTCAGTGCTGGAGTGTCTGGTGCAGTCTCCTTCAGTGCAGAGCAGCCTGATGAGGCTGACCACACTGCCCAGTGATGCTTCCACTGTGTGCCACATGTTGTTTGACAAGTATTCAGGGAGCTCTTGAACCAGTGTGCTGGAGCCTTGACCCCTCTGGCTGCGGAGGCGGAGATGCCCATCCATCAGCTCGATGCTGAGGAGCAAGTCGTCCACTCTGCGCTGCCATAGAGTACCGACTGCTCTTTCTGTCTTGAAGCTGAATGTGACAACCACAGGAGCCTCCGGGTCAGAATGCTGTGTCTCTATGTACATGAAGCCTCTGGACTCAAACGAGAAGACTGTGGGGGTCTCACATTTTGAGCTTGTGAAGCCAGGAAGGCAGATGCATGTGTAGGTGTGCTGATCATTTACAAGTAAAGGAGAGCATATTCCTCCATTCTCACACTGGTTGTCATCACAGCCTGAAAGTGCAATTGTGCAAGTCTCACCCCCATATAGGCGCCCATTGTGGCTCTGTTGGGAGCAAAGGCATCTGAATCCCCCATCGTGGCTCTCACACATGCCACCATTTTGGCATGGCTGCAGTTCACATCTGTTGGTGTCCTCACTAGATGAAATGACTGGAGATACAATAATGACAACTTTTTACATCAGAACTTTTTGCATACCATGCCATTCTGTCTGACTCCTCAATTTGAATGTATAAACTAAATCAAGATGAGAAATTAAAAAAAAAAAACATTACTTAAATAATTACTTAATTTAGACACATGTAAAATGTAAAATTAGACATATGAATTTAACTTCCTCAAAAATATACACAGGTGTTGTATACTTTACAATGCACACTTCGAGCACCTAAGCCACCATGTATATATTATTATTATAATATAAATAATATATAATTATATTATACTTAAAATGTGACGAAAATCTGCAAATAACATTAGTCTCTGACTGCAACACACATATTGTAAATATTACCTGCATAAAGCAAACATAACATCCACACATGCACGCTGTATCTCAACATTGTCCTCAGAAAGTCCTCCAGATGACTAGCTGTTTGGAAATATCTTCAATTTAGGTCAAAAACAGGTGTAGAATACATGTGTGCTCGGCTCCATCTTCAGCTCTGCTCCTCCATGCACGTGTCTGCTTACTGAAGCGCTTGTGTGAAGTTCTGCCAGTCAGATAGGAGGGATTAAGCTAATGCACTTAAAATGTCTTGTCAACACATTCAATGTGTTGGTGAAGGGAGGGGTTCATCCTGGAGCCTCATTCGAGGAATTCCAGACGTTTTCCCATAGACAGAAGTGTGATGTACACTTCCTTAAATGACAGCTGAAGCCCAGGTAATGAAAACAATTAAATACACGCCCTTGAACACTGACACTAACACAAGTGGTGTGCATGTACATGGACACATGTGCTTGAAGGCGTGTCAACTGAACTATTGGATTGTAACAATTGACTGGACTGAGGCCCAATCTTTAAAAGAAGTAAACTGAAGCCAGTGGTTCTAATCCAAACATCTCTGTCATTAATACGTCTCTAACGTCATCATGAGTTATTTCTCTGAAGAGCACTAAGAGCATTCAATCTGCTCATTAGTTACTAATAGCCTTACTGTTCTTTTATAGTGCCATTGTTTGTTTGTTTGTTTGTGTTTTTACAGTTGCTCTGGCTCAGGTTGTACACAGGCATGAACAGTATTATATATTTACCAGGTTGTGGAGCCATTACCCAACATGTAAATTTACAACTATTACACACTGTCACCTGAAAGATTATCAGTATGTTAGAGCATATGTTAGGCTTATATTGTATGTATACAAATGTAGCTGATGTATGTTAAAAACATATTTGAAATCATATATAGTCTCATATGATAAACCTTGAGTGAACTGACAAGACAATTGGTGAAAGAAACAATATGATAAATACAAATAATTGGTACTTAAATAAAAGTACCAATACCACGCTTTGCAAAGTCTCACAATCATTTATATATTTGCACTATCAACAAAATACAACCAATAAGCAGCTCAACATGGTCTCTGTCAGTGTTACAATATTATCCATCATAAAATTGCATTATTATTAATGATGCATTAACATGTAAGCAGTGGAAATATGTTTTTACTCTTACCATATCATTGTGGATGGTTTATCAGTGCACAACAACAGCATATTGCATTCTAAGCGAATTCATTCTTCAATAAACGTAGTGGAGTAAATATATCAAGTAACATGAAATCAAAAGTACTCAAGTAACCCAAAATTATACTAAAGTACAATAACTGAGTCAATGTATATATCGTTTCTTTATAATCACTGTATAGAACTGAAATATAAACAATAAATCAAGTTACATTTTCACCTTTAAATGTTTAATTTCCCCTGAATAAAACTGAACTGATACTCACACCGTGCGGATGCTGAACAGGTTGTTATCAGCTGGCGGAAGTTCGCTATTGTTATTAGCCTTCAGACTACATTACCCATGATACCCTGGTGTGGTTAACCCTCCCTCATGATGCTGATCGTCAACACGTCCTCTTTGTTCGATTCCTGTTGGACTTTTTTACATTCGGCATTAAAATTAACCAATGAAAGCTCATGAAGTCCCTCTCTGTGTTTTTATTTTTTAATTAACTGCGAAAAGCAAGAGCGTTGAAGGACAAAAGCTGAAACAGCCAATCAACGAGCAGCTTGTTACGACGTCGGACATCTCTGATTGGACAGCGGCGTTGGGCGTTTCTTACATTCAGGAAATTATTATTTCTCTGTTTATTTTCCTGTTTGCATCATCAGCTGGAGGATCCAGAGGTTTACAGACACTGTCCGTGTCTCTGGGGTAAGATCCGTGTTCGAATAAAGACGTTTAAAGGTTCATTTCCGGGGAAACAGACAGAGTAGCAGTAAGGGTCGTTTGTCAACGCTCTCCCCGGAGGGGGCCCGCCCGTCACACTCATGTCAGGGGTCCTCAAGTGGGGAGCGAATCTGCGGATGCACCGATGTACGATCCGTTAGCTTGTATTTATAATGTTAATAGTGTTTATAATGTTTACTAACCCTTTATTACAGCTGCTGCTTCTCTCTGCTTTGTTTTAACACACGGGAGAAATATAGGTCAAGCGTGAGCACGGCGTTGTTTTTGTCTTTTCATGCACAGTTTTCAAATTAGTGATAACTTTTCATCACCATGCTGTTAATAACATGGTCGAGTGGTTAAACTCTGGCACATTTACATGCCAAGTTACCCGTCTAATCCATAAACTGTATATCAGGGCTGTTTAGATTAGAATGCAGGCCAGATCATGGAAATGAGCCCAAATGAGGGAGCTGAGAAATGTGACTTTAAATCTGAGTCATCACGTCAGACAGTACAACAACGTAGGAGTGCATATGTTGAATTTAGTAAATGCTCAAGTTCAGTGCATTGTGTTAAATCGAGAAACTCAGGTCCAAGGTTTTAACACTCTTATGACAGTACACACCACGTTCAGAAATAAGTGCAGCTGAGCCATATTGCAGAATTTCACTAATTTAACTCAACAGAGAACATCCTCATTCAGGGGACTGATATTTCTCAGTATGTGCAATTTGATGCAGCTCCAAATAAAAATCCAGATCTAGTGGATTTATATGTGGTCTCATAAGTTGACTTTTTGTCTTGGTGGACATATGCTCTCTCTGAGTCCCATTCCAGTTTCTACATCAAATCAGAAACCTCAATCATCAGTTTATGTGAGCCATGCCACATCAGTAGCTACATAAATGTGGCTTTGGTAAATTAATATTATAAAAACACCAATATACAATCTGCTTTAAGAAATCAGTCAATCAATTCAAGTCATTTACAAACACATGTAGCCTGTAGCCAACATTTACCTAATTAGAGAAACATCTCTTTTTTAATTTAGCAAGAGCTGTGGATCTCCAGTGTATATGAATAGACTATCTTTATATACAGTCTATGGTATATCCTTTTCAATATCACATTTAATCAAATCTAAATTAAAATGCATCAGGTGTTAGTATCTGTGTTGGTCCATCTTCACACTTTTTCTATTCCTCTGGATTTCAGGAGTGATTCATGGTAACCCATCAGATTTACCCATGAAAAGAAAAATTAGTACTCCTCTGCGTCCCAAACGCAGCAGGTTGGTCAGTGTCGGCGGTGATTGTGCTCCAGAGCCCACAGTGCTGAGCTCTAATGCACCATCAAACTCTGACACCGTCCCAGAATCTACCTCGCTCATCCGACACCTGACGATGTCAAGGCACAGTCACAACCTCCTCAAGTTTTTGGATGAGGACCGGAGCCGGGGGAAGTTCTGCGATGTGTCTGTGTCTGTGGGTGGAACGATCTACAGAGCCCACAAGGTGGTGTTGGCTCACGGGAGCAGCTACTTTCATGCTGAGTTGTCCAAGAACCCTGCAATGACACATGTGACTCTGGACCACGTGGAGGACTCTGTTTTCCAGCACCTGCTTGACTTTTTGTACACCTCCGAGTGTGTTGTCACAGACACAGACCTCCTGGCTCTAATTGAAGCAGCACGATTCCTGGACATGATGGATATACTAAAGATGCTGTGTAAAGAAGGGGAGGTCCACCCTGTAAGTGTGATCCAGGCCCAAGCTGAGATAAGAGCGTCTCAAGAGGTAGAAATTACCTCCAGTGACTCACCAGCAGGCAACGCTGATGTCCAGAGCCCATCTGAGCAGAGCAACCAGTGCTATCGCCAGCTTAATGCAGTAAACTCTGTGCAGAACCACTTGACTGAGAGTCACGGTGATGTACAGCAGGAAATCTCAACAGAGAGAGGGTCAGAGGGTCAGAGGACTGTTCTCACACGGAGATCAGCTCGTAGGAGGAGAACACCCACTAAGTATAAGAGAGATGATGTGGAGTACTTTGTCAACACACCTGAGGAAAAACAGAAGATCTTATCACTAAGCGAGCAGCACAAAGCTAGAGTAGAGGAGGCAGGAACCGTGGTTGTGGGAAAGCAGACGTCCAAACCGGACTTAAAAGAGACGTCTAAACCAGCTCTCGATGATGACGTAGTGGATGAGGAGGATGAGGCAGAGGAGGGAGGAGAAGTGAATGAGGATGTGGCTGCCCAAAAGACAGTCGCTGCAGACAAGAGCGCAAGTCAGCAGGGTCCAGATGGAGAAGGTTCAGAGTGCCTTGCTGTTCGAGAGGTGGAGGTGCAGGCGGCTGCTGCAGGAAGCTCCAACCAGAGCCCAGTGTACCCTGAGGGTCTGGCCCCAGTCATCATACAGACCTCCAGCAAGAAGATTCTCATGTGTCCCAAATGTGACAAGACCTTTGACCGTGCAGGTGGGAACCATTGAATAAGGTTGTGATTTATGTTATCTCTCGCAGTGACAGTAGTAGGAGAGCCTCCTCCTTTACAAACAGGAGCGTTGGATTCTTCCAAATTGCATTACAAGTTGTGGGTGGAGCCAGATGTTTTCCATTTCCCTCACTATTTCATACTGCACCTTTAAAAGCTGTGGTGACAAGCACAGTAGGCTTCCTTTAACCTGATTGGACACTCAGTGTAAAATTCAGTCAATATAGTAGCTCTATCTTCCATGAGAGTGCTGATACAAGTGTTTCAAATGTTTTACTGATGCAATACATCAAAGCTTCCTGCCTGTTTTTCAGGGAAGTACGAGAGTCACACCAGAGTGCACACGGGAGAGAAACCGTTCCAGTGTGACATCTGTTTCCAGCGCTACTCCACCAAGTCTAACCTGACCGTGCACAGGAAGAAGCACGCCGGCGACGCTCCCTTCCAGAAGAAGGAGCACAAATGTCCCTTCTGCAACAAGCTGCATGCCAGCAAGAAAACCCTGGCCAAACATGTCAGGAGGTTAGACACTGCTATATCACTACATCCAGTCTTTTACTGTATTAATGTAGCTTTCTAAACTAAAGTTTTCAGTTTCTATCGGTTGAGATATTATAATGACTCACTTGTTTCTAAGAAGATTTATAGGAAAAAAAACCCATAATATTTGTAGCACTAACTCTCCCTTGGATCTCCACGATCAGGTTTCATCCAGACAACATCCAAGAGTTTCTCACCAAGAGGAAGAGGAAGAGTGAAGGCTGGAAATGTGCCGTAAGGACCTGTTTCAGAATGAGGAGGATTTTGTAGTCGTAGATAAATATTGTATTATATGTTAAGAGAGATTTTAACATTCTGTAACCTTTGAACTTTCTGATCCAGATTTGTCTAAAGACCTTCACCCGCAGGCCTCATCTGCAGGAGCACATGATCCTGCACACACAGGACCGGCCTTTTAAGTGCACCTTCTGTGATGAATACTTCAAGTCGAGGTTTGCCAGGCTGAAGCACCAGGAAAAGTACCACCTAGGTGGGAAAGGCACCATGGAGATTAAACCCTTTAGCTCTTAGACTTATAAACAACAACAAATGAGAAAAACTTTAAATTCCAAGGATAAATATCATAACATCATATAACCTTGAAATAACTATCCCTGCACCATGACAGGTGTACATATATTAACAAGTCTTTATTATGCACTACGTGTACTGTTCCCAATATACTGCATATCCTCCTCTTTCTCTTCACATGCTATTGTACAGTACAATCCAAACCATCCATTACTATCATTTAAATTTAAAGTTATTTTTTTTGTTCTTTGTTGTCCTCCTCCCTATAGCTGTATGTCTATCCCTATAAGTGCACTAAGAGCAATGTAAAGTCACACATACATGGCCAATAAATTCTGATTCTGTGTCTCATTTTCAGGTCCTTTTCCCTGTGAGATCTGTGGCCGACAGTTTAATGACACAGGCAACAGGAAGCGACACATTGAGTGTACTCATGGAGGCAAGAGAAAGTGGACCTGTTTTATCTGTGGGAAATCAGTGCGGGAAAGGTACGTCTGTCCCATATGGAAGAGCACCATGATGCTTTGGCTGATGCCAGTGTGTCTGTTCTGTATCATGAAACTGAAGATAATGATTTCTCCCTTTAGGACAACGTTGAGGGAGCATATGAGGATCCACAGCGGGGAGAAACCTCATCTCTGTAGTATCTGCGGCCAAAGTTTCCGTCACGGCAGCTCCTACAGGTGGGTTCACTGAGAGTGGAAGAAGGTGTCTGATGTTGTGTTTGTGAATGATTCAAGCTCTCAGTTTGATTGGCTCATCAATGTTCCATGGACAGGCTTCACCTCCGAGTGCACCATGATGACAAGCGCTACGAGTGTGACGAATGCGGGAAAACCTTTATACGTCACGATCACCTGACCAAGCATCAGAAAATACACTCTGGTAACGTAGAACAGATGTAACAGTGGGATTCTTGTGTGTCTTTCTTTCAACAAATTTTCGCTTTCTTTTCGAACATAGATGGCAAATATCACCTGTATGTTTGAAGGTCTTCCGAACTAGTTTGATGATAAGTTGCCAACCACCAGCAGATGTCAGGGATCACTAGCGGATCTTACGACATTAGTTTTGTAGCGTCATTTGGTGTTTCAGCCTTTTAATCATTAGAAACCCTCTGCTAAGGCAGGCTCACCATTGGCTGATCATGCGTTCTGCATTCTGTGATTTTCCTACTTTTGTAGCAGGGTCAACATTGTTTTATTCACACAGATCAAGTGTTATTTCTTGTTATATATAAAGTATAGTGGAAAATACTGTTAATCCCTGTCGGTGTGTATTTTAACGTAGCCTACTTGTGTTACAGGTGAGAAAGCACACCAGTGTGAAGCGTGTGGCAAGTGCTTTAGGCGCCATGATCATCTGACTGTTCACTACAAGAGTGTTCATTTAGGAGAGAAAGTTTGGCAGAAGTATGTTGTCTTATTACAGACAAACAGCATGTTAATATTACTCTTACTGGGCTCTGCATCCTTTACCAAATGTTTTTGCTTTCTAAATTTTCTCACAGGTATAAAACTGCAGTGCATCAGTGTGAGGTTTGCAAAAAGGAATTTAAAGGAAAGTCCAGTCTGGAGATGCACTTCAGGACTCACTCAGGTAAAGAAAACAAAGACGTCAAATGATTTGATGGTTGAAAAAGAATGTATGAGAGTAAAGGTGATAGTTAGATGCAGCAATTGTGGTTCTTCCTCTGTTGACTGTTCACAAAGCCCCATCCCCTTTATCACTGTTGCTACGCTTGTTAAGCTTTCTGCTCTTCATGGCACAGATACAGTTTACAATGATAATGTCACAGATCCACCTCTCAAAGGCACAGTGTTGCAGTGTTACGCACTGTCGCCTCACAGTGTCTGGTCTGTGTAGGTTTTGTTCAGGGGCTCAGGCTTCCTCTCACACTACAAACACATGGGGTTAGATTAATTAGAGACTTTAAATTGACTGTAAGTGTGAATTGTTGTTGTTGCTGTAGAGAATGGCAACGACTCAAGAGGAGAGAGAAAACAGCAACAAAAAACTCTAATGCCTTGAGTATACAAGTTATATCTGAACTCTACATTAAATACAAAAGGTGTACCCTGCTTGTGTTCTCGCTGAGCACAACGGGCGTCTTCAGCCGGAGAGACAAACACAGCTGAAGCAGAGACAATCCCAACATTAGCGACCAACTCATGAAAAAGTTGTTCTAGTAGTTGTCAGGCAGTGGACAATCATATGTTTTGGGGAGGGGGCAGATGGGAGGGGGTGGTATGCATCTGTGGTTTAGCCTGCTCTTGCTAAGTTTTTCAGTATTATCAACACTACCTTTCAGGCCAAAAAAGGAGCTCCAGACATATTCGAAAAAATAATCTCTCCTTATTAATCTCTGTGTAATTCGTTCAAATGTAGCCATTTATCTGTATAGCACTTTTCAAGGGAGTCAAACACACTTTGCAAGAGAGACTGCCTAAGCATCCTCAAACCAACATTTCTGCCTGTGCTGATGTTGCAGGTGAGAAACCCCACAGATGTCCTGAATGCCACCAGACATTTCGGATCAAGAAGACCTTGACAAAGCACATGGTGATTCACTCGGACGCTCGTCCTTTTAACTGTCCACACTGCAGCGCCACCTTCAAAAGAAAAGACAAGCTCAAGTACCACGTCGACCATGTGCACAGCACGAGGTTTACCGGGCAGCCCGTCAGCACTCTCAGCGAGGTCAAAATAGTCTCCATCCCTTTTGAGGAAACCTCGAAGGCGTATCGCGCTGAACCTAAGTCGGCTCTCCAAAGCAGCCCTGCTCCTGCTATGAATGTTTGCGTGCCAGTCACTTTAGTTCCTATCCAGACGGCAGGAGGAGCGCAAGGTGACCTGAACACATCAGGGGCGTCGTCTCTCTCCTCCCAGACTCATAATGTTGTGAGCATGCAGGCTCAAGGACAGCAGCAGAACTCTGGCTACCAAGCCGCCACCGAACTGGCATTCTTAGAGAAGTACACCCTCACCCCCCAGCCCACCAACATCGTCCACCCTGTGAGGCCTGATCAGATGCTGGATCCACGAGAGCAGTCCTACCTGGGCACGCTACTGGGACTGGATTCATCTTCCTCTGTACAGAACATGTCCAACTCTGATCACAGGCACTGATGCTCCTAAATCCAAATTAAGTCTTAAAGGCACACTCTGAAAAACCTACTTATCATTGGAATCAGAAGAACAAAACTTCAGTATTCACCACTAAAATATATATATGTATTTTGAGACAGGGAGGAGCTTTTGAACTTAGTGTGAATGATTAAATTTTAGGCTCCATCAACACATGTTTTCATTGGAAAATGCATCAAGAGGCGCTAAAACTGAGAAGTTTGGAAACACTGCTGGTCTAGTTTTAGTTTTAAAGCTTGCGTTTGGTTCGAGAGGTTTGGAAACAATGATGTAGACACTGGGGCTGCACAATATATCGAAAATGTATCGTCAAAAGCAAAAGACTGCTTGATGGTGCTCCATGCGACATGCATTCACATTCTGCATGTCAATATGTTTGGCCAATCAGATGGAGCCCTGCTGCTCTAGATAATAAATGAAAGATATTCAGATCACTGACAGGTTTTTCTGTCCCAGTGTATGGAGCTGGTGGGGTGCACTCGGTTTGGCGTAGTGCACAGCATGTGGACAGATATAGTTTTAGTTTGAAAATGCTGTTTTCAAATGAAAACATAGTGGTTTGATTGTAGCCTAAGAAAACTACAACTGTTGTTTTAACTGGGAGACTAACGCCTCTGATATTCAGCCACAGTAGATTCACATGTTACATTTTTAATGTTTTCTAGTTCAGTTTAGTAAACCATGAAATATATCACATTAACTGTAAAATCTGAACTGAAAGTGAAAAGGACAAGTGTGGGAACCATGGTCACGCAAATTGGCTTTAACAGTATTTTTTTTACTTGCATCAGTTTTAGTACAAGCTTTTAGTGTCACAGAATAACACAATTCATTTTGAATGGATTCATCCATTGGCAGAAACATTATCAATGAAGGTTTTTTAGGACTTGGTTCATCATTCATGTTCTTAAATGCAACATGTACTCTTCTGCTGCTCAGAGTCTCTCAATCAAAACAGTAACAAAAGCTGCATTATTAATAAATCAGGAGGTTTTTAGCCAGCGAGCACAGGACGTCTGTGAGATTACTAAAATCTGTCCACCAGTTAAGTTATACAGTTAAATGTAAAATTGTTAATTGTGTAAAAAATGTGGCTTAAAACTTGGTAAAAGTTGATCATGATTGTTTTTGTTGGATAACCAATAGTGATGTTTGTACATAGGAGATCCTTGACAGACGTGTAAATGAAATTATGTATTTTCTGGGTTTAAAAACTGCTGGAAACATTTGAGGTGCTGTAAGTTCTCAACGCAACAAAACATTACATAGGTATAATGGTTTTAAAGCAGAAAAGTTGCATGTAATACATTTAATTATAAAACATTACTACTGAGATGTAAAATGGGTGGCCTTACATTGTAGTGTGCGTACTTTTTAAAACGTTTTTACTGCAGTGTAATTATGAACATAAATGTTAGAAGTTTATGACATACAGCTCTGTCTTTCAATGCAGTTTTGAGGAAAATGCCCAAAAAATCACAACACTTTGCAATTTCCATTTCTAATACTTTGACAAAGTCATCCAAGGGAATTAATTTAACTAAATGTTAAAGATTTTGACAATGTTCAACTGTTAAATGAAGGTTTTTAGTTTTCTTTGAACAACAGGACAAATTTCTGTTTTTGATGAAACCTGTACGTGGTCAAATCTGTTCTGTACCACACATCACAATGTGTCGCTCCACAGTAACGTCGCGGCATCTGCACCTCCCAGAGATGTGCACAAATGTGCGAGGACCCTTCCATACTGCATGGAGCTTCAATTTAAATTGAGATGGAAAATCATATGAAATATGGAAAATCAAGTGTTAAAGTATCAGTTGCATCTTGAGAAGGTGTTGCTGTTTTAAATTGTGTCGCAGCTGTTATTGTTTTTAATTGTGCGTCATTCAGCTGAGTTAATAATAATGATCTGTTACAGAGGTGATGCTCTTCTGAAACTTCTCAAACTTTGTGTCATGATCAATAAAATCAGATATGAAAGACGTGTGTGTCATTAGCCTTGTGACAGACTAGAATAATAAGTGAATGGCTTGATTTTAGGGAGGATTTAGACGTGAAAAACACAATACCAGAAAGACCAGTGATGAAATTCCAGCCAAGGTTTTATCCAGGCCAGTCTACCAGTCATTTGTGTAGCTTTGAGCCCACAGTAAAACAGTTAACTCCATCATGCTGTAGGAATTTATTTAAAAAAAGCCAACATGTTATGATGTTACAAAATATGTATCATCACAATCATAACATCATTTTCCAGGCTGGCATCTGTTTTCAGTTTTCAGTGAGCAAATTAGTATTAGTTTCCTCCTCTTCATCAAACAGCTTCAGCACATTCCCTGGTCAAAAGACAGAGGTTTTACAAACAATAAACAATGCTTAAAAAAACCACAAATAATAATTCAGATTACATTATGAAGCCATGATCATACATGAATATACAAATGATGCTACATTATTGCTTCAGACAAGATTAATACTCACAATTTTCCTTGAGACCCAGCTACAACCTACAAATAATCATATGTTAGCACAGCAGTGAATATTGTTGTCATGCATTCACAAGTAATGAAACATAACGTCTAAATTCTGATGTGGAATTCACATGTTTTATTCACACCACATTGAACCTGGCGTTGAACTTGATCACCAAAATCTCTCGAAAAGGTGTTAGAACACACCCACTCACTATTCAGACACGGGCTGGTTCAGTTATGTTCTGGAACATTTTACCAGGGGCCTGACATGAAAGGTTTCGGAGCAACTGACTCGAACATTTGCATTCTCACGTTCAGCCCCTCGGAAAATGAGCACAGAGTTCAGTGCATGTCTGAGAGCAGCTTAATATCCAAACCTTCCGGCCTCCATCATCCTGGCCTGATGACTATTATATGTTTTAGCAGACACACACACACACACACACACACACACACACACACACACA